TATTGACAACACTGAGGGGCAGCAGCTCTGGTCTATACAGTTGCCAAACTTCAGCAGAACGTTCTAAATCTTAACCTTGCAATTTTCTACAGCCCCGTTTCAGGATGGAGGCCTAAAAACCTACTTTAGAAACTGAAAGGCTGGTGAGGGTTTTTTTCTTTAGTATAATCACTTACTAAATGTTTCTCTGTGTAAAATGAGTATTAGATACATGAGCAATAAGTTTATTATTTAAAGCAAGGATGTCACATATTCTGAGAGGCAGCTGAACAAAACTCCCTTATTTTCAAGATGCAGCGTTAGTGTTTATGTAGCAAACACTGTTATTTCAAGCTGATGCAGTGCTTTAGTACTAACTTCTGTATTCTAAAAACTTCACAACTTTTTTTTTTTTAATTCTACCTTATGTAAGTTGTATCATACTGTAGTGGCACTAGCAGTAGTTTTGGTACTGACCTTGTGTTCGCAAGTCAGTAGGCAATACTTTGTGATGTTAGACGGCATTTACTTTATTTGTATTTATCCAAACATTCTATTCAGTAAAACAGGCTCATTCATTTCAAATTTTGTATGTTTAGAAACGTCAGGACTGCGGCGCTGACGCAGTCCTCACAATGTCTCCTGTGACCATCCCTCCGCCGTGAGACAGGACCAGTATGCCCAGACCGCTAGTGCTGGATGTCACAACGACAGAAGAGGTGTACATTTTATAGGAAACAACACAGCGTCTCCTGCCGCCCCTGAGGCTAGCGATGCATTCTGGACTCTCCTAAGCTGGATCGCTGCGCTCTGCCTAAGCCGCGCTGCTGCCCAACATTTGGATCCCACAAAGAAGCGTTTAAAATGCATTCACCAGCATTGCGAAGACACCCACGCAGGGGGGTGAGCTGGCAGGGGATGCAGGGCAGGGTCATGGTGTGCCAAACCTTCACGCACGTTTTTAGCAGCTGAGCAGCTGCGTTCCTCGGCGTGTCTGGGGATGCACGCGTTCAGCCCGCGCCGCTTCAGCGCTGCTGTAAAATTCAGCCTGAGAGAACGGGTTGCATTAACCTCGTGGCGACTTCTGTACCAGGGAGACTTTAAATCACACACATTTTTCACACGGGCTAAGAGAGCAGTGATGAACTTTAAGGAATTGACTTTAACTCGGTTACTGTGCCTAGGCCGGGCCAGCCACTAGACGGAGCTGTGACCACAGCTAACCAGGCCGGTACCTCGACGGGGGATCCCAGTTACAGGAAGGAACAGCCTTTCTAAAACCCCGCTAGTAAGTCATCAGAATGATAAACCACATGGTAGGCTGTAATCAGAATGAAAAGCTAAATGGTAGTATCTTTAAAATGTACTACGCGAGTTAAACTGTTAGCTTGTACTACCACTGGGAAGAGCCCAAATTCTTTCAAGTACTGGATCAGATGACTAATTACAAGGTACATTTTTTCATACTGGACCATATGAAAGATGCTCTGTGGCAGCAACTTAATATATCAGTTTTCTGCCACGTGATGCTCGTACTTGATGAACAGATGTCACCAATGGAGCCCCTCGGCTTAAGCAACAAAAAACTGCCGTGAACACGTACGGCAAGAGGGAGCTCTCAGATGCGTGCCAGCCACTTTAACCAAAACCCGTCTCCCTTTTTTTGGAGAGGTGCCCAGGCAGGAAAGCAGGACTGAGGACGGCGTGCCAGAAGGACTGCCTCTCTGATGCTGTAGCGCATTCTGCCACGCTGCTGAGCCTACCTGGGGATATTTCTGGCTACAGTGTCTGGGAACTCCTTCTGGATGTAGGATATATTATTAAGGCAGTGGAGGATCACTCCAGATCGTTTAAGTTGCATAAACAATATGTACTTAATCTTGTCATGCCACAGCTGTATGCATCATGACAGAATTTGGCACAAATATGCATGACTAGAAAGTTATAAATGTCTAGAACAGGATTAAAAACTTAGCAGACTTCTGACAGGGAGCTCAGGGAGGCACTGCACATGTATGTGGAAGACTGCACAAAGCCGGTCATCTCCATTAGTCCTTCATCTTTAAACCTCAAGTAACTGTCACTAGTTTTTTAAAGTAATAAAAGTCAACAACCTTACCAGAGGTCATTGGCATGAATGTCTTTGGCCAGGAAAAGGTGGGATGTTAGACGGCATTTACAAAGGTGGGAGTGTTGCACAGAAAATTGAAGGTGCTAAAACAACTATTGTTGCAACTGCAGACACTCGAAGGTTGAAATAGGGCTGGTAACAGACTGGATGGGCCTGTGAGTGACGGAGTAAATGAATCCTGGCATAAATACCCAGACAAGTCTGCAAAACAGTTCTGTATTGCACTGCACTATGTGTTTTCCTAAATCCTGTGAGCATGGCTTACTTCCAGAGCGAGCCACCCTCCCACTGCCTCCTCACGGCTGCTTTGGGAGTCTGTGAATGGGTAAGATTCCTGCACCTCATTTTCCTGTCTATCTCGAGTGCCGGAGCAACCAGCAAGGGAGCTGTGCTCAGGAGAAGGTCGGGCATCCCTCAGCAATGCTCGCTAACCTCGAGAACGTGAGCTGCAGGAGGCCTTTTCGCTCAAGTGGCGTTAGTCTCTAACGTTTTTCTTTGAGCTGACCATTTCTCAAATGCCTGTGAAGGATTAGTAGTGGTGTCTCTGCTATGAAGCGTCCCGCTGCTTTAGAGTTCTGTAGGCTGCTGGGACTAATTCTTCTTTTCCCTGGGCAGCTGTTTTGACAAACATCCAGGCAGTGTCCTACAAAGACAAGCCAGTACAACGGAAACATCATCTGTGAAGGAGAAAGGAAAGGCAAACGCTACATGCACCACGAGCTCTGCCGGGAGCACAGTTTCGATACTGCTGCTGTAGCATTATGAGTACATGATTAAGCACTCCCATGAAAATATCACACAAGGTTTTCATTTCACAGCATTCTGACCTCAAATACCTTTTCAAAGTAAAATAACTGAAGCGCTCTGCAATTATTAACATTTCCTGTTAACTGCTCAATTTAACTGCAAAGTTGCATTTAAAATTCACTGACTGCGCTGTTCAAGAGATTTAAAAAGTCCGAAACCGCCCATCCTCCGGGGAAGGACCAGTGCAGGCTGGGTGCCTGCTGGTTTCAGAGGATGCTTTTATACCTCTGCTTTTCACTTGTCAGAGTCAAGGGGCATCTGGGAGAAGAGGCTGCTAAAGGACATGTATACAATTTGAATAGCACTGGTAATAGCAACAGATCCAATTAAGAGCTGTGGTTATCTCCAAACAAACTAAAGGAGGGAAGTTTGTTAGGGAAGAGATAACCTGGGAACAAAAATGAAGAGACTAAGATGGGAATTCCTTCTCGAGCAGAGAGCAGAATTTGTGCTCTTTCATTTTTGTCTTGAGAGGCATCGCACCCGCGTAGCACAACCACAACACATCACAGTATTTTAGGGACCAGCAAGCCACTTGCCCAGAAAAGGCTATAGGTGGGTGATGAGAAACAGGTAGCTTTTTAACTAATAGTGTATCTTTATCCAAGAAACAGACAAAGTTAGTTAATGCAGTATGTCCCCCATTCACCTCAGGACCCAAATACTGACAACCTTGAAGACAAGAGACTTCAGCAGATCATCCAGGACCGTTTTGCAGAGAAGAAATCCCCAGGATTGTTCTAAGACACGGTATGGGTAAGCAAGCCATCCAAAATACTAACCTCCGGCTCAGGCCCTCCTCTGCTCCTCTAACACGCATTGCCTGTCACTCTGCTACAGCTGCCTCTCCATCATGAAGCAGCCAGCTAAGTTATCAGACGTAGAGCAAACTCAGACTGTCGTCGTTTAAACTTACAGTAGTCACAGATTCCAAAATACAATTAAATACTGAAAGTTTAGATCTAAACATATTTTTATCTAGATTTAACACAAGCTTTCATCTCTACAGTGCAATGACACTGCCTGGCATTTATATATTATACCAAAAACTGGTTCTAAAGTGGTCTTCCCCTGGATTAACACCACAAATTAATCTGCAGTGGTACAAGGAAGTCTTTAAGAGGCTTGACTTCCATCTAGGTAGCTCTAAGGAATGCCCTGTTTTGGTTAGTTTTCCAAACAGTCACTAACGAAATTAATTTTATCTTGCATCTCTTTCTTTACATGCCTATGAAAAGTCCATGCCAAAAAACTAACTTAAGGGTGAGTCTCGGTGAATGACAGACATTCTTGTATCACAACAGAGCTATTTTTTGATATAGAAGGTGTCAGACCTCAGAGTATTTTGCTGAAGTTTAACATTAGTTGGTTTGAATACAGTATGGCATAGAAGAAATATTATTCGAGTAATGCACAGACTGAATAAACATGTGGCTTCAGGTAGTTCAGTAACTATACCTAATCACATGCTTGGCCGGGATTTATTTAAGGGTAGGGGGGAGGTTAAAGAAAGCGAGAGAGCCAGTTCTGCGGTAGCAGGCTAGCAGTTGGCTCCTCTTCCTCCTTCATATCAGTAACAGGCCAATAATCGCAAACCTTTTCCTATACAACCTTATCACTGCAGATTAAAAAAGAAAAGAGATGAGAAACACGAGAGCATCGTTCTGAAGAGTCACACCTACAGGTGAAAAGCAGCATCATTCCTATCACTTGCTATTAAGCGGCAGCACTGCCCTGACCCTGCTGTGCATCTGAATGAACCTTTGACTATTAGAAATGAGAGGTAAGGAACCAAATGAAAAGTCTACACAGAATTTGGAAAGAAAATTCTGAAATGGAAGATTACAGTTAGTTTCTAAGGAGCAGCAAGGTCACAGGAGACAGGTACATGTGAACAAACTTAATTCTTATAATCACTCAGAATGTATTTGTTGTATTGCTCCTTTTGTTAAGCAAAGAACAAAGACCAGAGGGATCTGTTCCTTTTGTGTAGAATCTTAATGGTATTTACTAGAGCTTTCTACTATGTTTAAAATGTAAGAGTTTGTTGTAAGTTCAGAGTGAGGCAGAGAACCACTGGTAATTACTGTTCTTCTGTTTTGCTGCTATTCCTGAACTTGACCACCATCACTGTGATGTTATCAGGGCATCCTCTGTAAAAGGACTGTAGAACTATACTCTTTGCACCGAAGTGTGGTTCATCCAAGCGTTCCTTGATGAATCGGACAGCTTCCTCGTTGCTGAAAGCATCCCACAGACCATCCGACGCCAAGATCATGAACTCTGGCTGCAGTTTGTCCAGGTCAAAGGTAAGAATATCAGGGTCAGGAATGACAACATTCAGGTTCTTCAGAGGGTAATCTCCTAACGAGCGGGACATGGCCAGGATCCCCTGAACACGCCAGGAGCCGTTAAAGCTGATAAAACCACCTGGAGAGAAATACCAACACTTTTTAAAGTTAAAGCATTTCTCTGGCTTCCTGCCAGACCCACCCAAAAATTCACCCTGCAGTATCCTCAGGTATACAGATGTTACGTATCTCAAAAAGCAGGAGATGTCTTAAGAAAATCTCTGAGCGCTGCAGGGAAGAGCTGGATTGTGGCTGCTAGTGCTGTTGAAACAGCTGAAGCAGAGAAGTCAGGAATGGCTCTGCTTTCAAACGAAGCAGCTTCATGCTCTCCACTCCCCCAGTGAGACCGACAACTTATTGAACACCGGTATTCCTGTACTACACAACTGACTGTTCAGAAAGCCTTATGGCAATGTTAAGACAAAAACACTGAAAGCAAATCTTTACATTCTTGTGTCAGTAAACCCCTCCTTCTTCTGTGTAGTTTACGTTTTCCCCATTTCAGAAGATCTATGAAAGAAACAACACTGGAAACACCCTGCAGTAGGAAGCACATCTCACTTTTAAGGCATAAAGCAAAGAAGCAAGTGCAAAAACATTTATAGGCTCTTCTATCAAACTGCCTTGAATGAGCTGTGTCAAAAAGGACCAAAACACTGTTGTGAACAAACCGATCACAAAATCTTACTTCAAGTCAGAAAAATGCAGTGTGGCATCTGCCTGATTGATTTTACCATCACCAGGATTAAGGGTACTTCTAGTCGAAAATACAGATTTTATTTAGGGGTTGCTTATAGTGAGATATGTTTTGCACAGAAATCGATGATTCTGACACAGCCAGCACCTGGCTGTTACACAGTCTGGTTGTGCCAGGGAGGGAACTATACAGTTCAATGTCAAAGAGTAAAATTTAGGCTCCTTCAATTCCTGTGCATGCATCTGCGTGCCACTGCCTCCACTGTTTCACAGCAATATTCCTGTCATCTTAACATGAATGAAAAGTCATTTGAGGACAAATAATTTGCAAACATGGAACATGAAAATGTATGACAAATTTAGGTGAACTGTAGTCTTTTATATCTGCAAGCTGTGTGCTTTGGTGTTCTTATAAATGTCTTTGTTCTTTGTAGTTATCAGAATGTTTTCAGCTCTGCGCTTCAGCCTATACGTTATTTGTCAGTCACCTAGTCACCTAAATCTTATGATAGCATTTCCATTCCTGGTTGGGTGATCTAATCTGTAAATTCCTTCTGCTTTCAGGTGAAACTACAGTTCATTTAATGACTGTTGCTTAAAGCTTGAAACTTGATTTGTGTTAAAACCAGCAGAAACAAAACTTTTTAGCTGGGTGTTTTCACGAATACTTCTAGGGAGTCTCCATTATGAAGATGTTTCCTTCCATAGTCAAAAAAAGGAAGGACTGGTGAGCCTACCGCAACTCCTCTTTATGGGCCTCAGCTGAATCTTACACAGCCACCTACTCACCAGCACAGGGAGGGGCTTCATAAGTGATTAGGACTATAGTACCTGGAGTGTAATCATATGTACGTACTGGAATGACAGGGGAAGCAAAATGCAATTAAGAAAGGCATTTTTAAGTAGGCATTTTACACACAATTAGAGGACAGCAATGCCTGCACCCGTTACTGTACTTGCAGAGGAGATAGCGGATGCTGCTGACTCGCTGCAGGTTGTGCTTACGCATACAAAGTGACTTTTCGGTGCCATTCTCGCGTGGCACCTGGAACTGCCTACGGCGCAAGTTGAATTCCTGTGGTTTGCTGAGGTGTCTGTTGGCACTTCTAGTATTTTCTTTTATAAAGCCACCCATACAGAATACATAAAAATACTCATAGAAAACCAAACATTCCGCAGCGCTGACTGTCACCAGAGAAGAAAAGGCATTAAAGAAATAGAAGATTTTTGGCAACCGCACAAACATTTTGCATGTTAGCAAGAGCTGAGCTCAGAGGATTATGTTCAAGGGGAATGACTTAAATTTCTGTCAGTGACAGTCACCTTGTGCCTCTGCAACTTCACAAGCCAAAACCACAGTTGTTTCAAGGCCAATGTCTAACGCTGATACTATATATATTGCTCAAGCTCCTGATTGGAAGGAGATTCCTTGTGTTTTCTGGGGAAACCAGCATCCTTGTGTCACAGGACATGCATTCCCCTATCCCACAGGAACGAGTCAGAGTGGTGGGACCCCGATCTCATTCAGCTGCGAGACGAGCGGCACCGCAGCACTTGTAAGCGTGCATCAGCCAGCCTCTTCTGAAAATAACAGTCCGTCTTGACAAAAACCCTGTGGCCGGTGCTGTTAACTACACAGCCACGCCACGGAGCAGGTAATTCCACAGGATGAGGCACCTCAGCTCAAAATCGAGCGCCCTGCCCTGTTCTCTTAGCTGCTGTCTTTCCTTTTGGCATTTGGCTGCAGGCTTGGGTACGCACTGCAGGAACTCCCACGAGAAACCTGAGCGTTGGCTTCTGGGGCTTTGAGAGCTGCTCAAGTCACGTCCAACTGATAAATGGGAATTTTTTTTCAGGCTGTGGGTTGACAAAGACTTTGTACGCAGTTGCTGGGAGTGGGGAAAAGAGAAGGACTGAATTCATTCCCCATCCACCGACCACCGAGAGCAGCAAGCAGCGAGCCTCCTTAACGTCCACCGTGGCAGCAAAAAATGATGGATTAGTTTAGACTTGTCAACCCGATGTTAACGCCCCGCTGAAATGCACAGGGCAAGTCACACTCTTCTTCGAGCTGCTGTTTCGGGCTGCCTCAAATTGATTTATATGAGACTGAGGTTTGAAGGATATTTTCTCAACCGTGGCTATATGGATTTCACTTTTAAATGAAATCTAATCCTACTAACACCAACGTGCAGTCATTTTATAACTACCTACAGGGCACAGGACAGTGCAGCTCGACAGCGCAATGTGAAGTTGGAAAACCAAAATGTAACATAATGATGTGGTTATTGTCACTTCAGTTCTACATGACAAGAAAGAATCTAGATGGTGGAAAAAAGTCAGGTACTTTTGTCACAGTAGCAATGTAGGCTTGATAATTCAGTTTGGGCACTTCGCTTCAATTTTACACTTACTGTATGTAAAGAAGGGATGTTCCAAAATGTAAAAGTATCCGGCAGTAGTATAAACTGGATTATATGTTTTTAACAGCACTATGAGGCCATATCAATCATGATAATATAATGGGGCAATAGGAAACAGAGAAGTTAATTCATTAAGCCACTAGGCTAGATAGAATATTTGTTGTTTAGCTGCAGATAGTTATAACATTTACCTGTCTATTAAAATAATTTCTTCCAAAGTTGGAAATTCCTGCAAAAATCCAGGTTCATTTTTCACGTTGCTGTGTTATAAAGCCTCACTTCTACACAAAAGAAACACCCAAATTATTTTTTTTCTCCTACGTGAAGGCCTTCTCTAAGTGAACAATTGCATAGAGGCCCTGAACTCAGCTAAGAGGGAAGCAATTCTGCAGAAAAATCTCCAGATTTTATTGATACATTGCCCAAATGCAGAGTTGAAGCAAAGTGAGACCAAGATTTTCCTATTCCTTCTTAGGATCTGTATACTATTTCTTCTGCTTTGGGGAACATGCACGACCTCGGCCCTCTGTCTAGCAGCAGGAAGGATCCCCACTGCTCTTGGGCCTCCTCGGCGATAAAAGCAAACTGAGAGGAAAGCGCACATCGCGCATGTTGGGCATTTATGCTGGTGTAAGCGTAGTCATAACCTGTAGGTTTTAAAAATGTTTTATACTCAGGGAAAAACTTGTTATTTCCACTTTACAGAGGAAGACGTGGAGGCAGAGAGACAACACATCTCTGAAGGCAACACTCATCGGTAGGTTTAACGCAAACAAGAGGAACTTTTTTTTCTTCATCAAATAATTTGCTGCTGCAGGCTGCTGTGGGAGCCAAACCAGAAACGGGTTCAAAAGAGACTTTTTGACAAACTCATGGGGAATTGGCTATTAAACTTGATGATCCAAATGTAACTTCTAGCCCAGGAGGTTGCTAAACTGACAAGTGATGAAAGTGAGAGAGATTTATTGCAGAAAGGTTGCTGTTGTATTCTTTCCCTATACTCCTGCTATAATTTACATGTTTGTGCTCATTAGCAGTCACTATAAGGGAACAAAAAATAGCTTTGATGAAATAGATTCATGCTCTGCTTATTTTAGGAACTAAAGCTGACTCAGCTTCAGACCCAGCCTCTCACATACAGGCTGCTGATACGGTTTGGTGTGAAGCAGCCTGAAATGCTGCTGCTCCTGTTTATTAATTTGCTCCCTGCAGAGATCACAAGGGAACTGGCCGGGATGGTCAACTGGCTGTTGAGGATGAAGGGCTGCTCTTCTTACTCTGACACTGGCTCATTAAGGGATCTGCTTCCACTTCTCTGTCTGCACCATGAAATCCCACTGAAAAGTGCCGTATTAATAATGGAAGATTTTATCTGCTGATGCCTCAGTCTGGTACTTTTCAGTCTCTCTCAGGGGAAAAGTCTATATTATTGACAGAGTAGAGAAGAAAAAAGATGAACCTTCAATCCAAAGCAAAACCGTTACGACTCACCAGCTCTTTTAATCCTCTTCCTCTCTTTCAGTTGGTAGGGCTTGTGATCGTGTGACAAGGGGATAGCATTCCCGTCCTTGTCACACAAGACTCCTCGTGAATCACCAACGTTGGCCACTGTGAGTTCTTTATCTGACAACAGCGCGATCAGACAAGTTGTACCTGGAAAAAATAGAAGGGAATGGGAAGCAAAACAAATATATAGGGGGGGTGTGTGTGTGTGTGTGTATATATATATATATAAAAACGATTAGCAGGAAAATATTCTTCCTATTAATAATGGCAGAGAGGGGCTGAAGTGGGAGTAGTGGATTCCAGTCTCCTAATGGCCAAGGAAAGTAATAAAAGTACAAATTAGCCCCAGAGCCCACTCGCAGCTTCTGTGAACTGAAACTACTGCACTGGACCACGCATGGGTAAAACAGAGCTCTCCTCCCTCGTCCCCTCAAGAACTGAGGTCAGTTTTGTTTTTTTTTTAATTGAAAAGAGGAAAAGATTTGACATTTTTAATTACTTTAACCTTTAAAAACACAGAAAATGTAATTAGTCATTGATCACCGTGTCCAACAGGCATAGTATTTGTTGGCTAAGGTGGCAGAAAAATATTGGAAAAATTGGCTGTTTTTCAAGTGAGAACACTGTAGTTTTTATTTTCCTCATTTAAGTGGAATGAATGTTGAGCAAAGCAGAGCCCATTAAGACGATGCTTTTTCTATATTTTCGCCTTCTAGCTAGCGTGAGCTAGACTCCACCGATTACCAATATTCCTTGCACGGGCTTTGGACCAGATGTCACAATTTCATTCATATTTTAGAATAGAAAGATGGCAAGTAAGTTTTTAGATATACATTAACAAACATCAAAAGGGAATGTGCCTGGCACTCAGTTTAGATTACATGGCGCTGCTAAAATTTTTACAAAAGGTACTCTAGTATCCTTCAACAGTAAATAAAATTAACTTAATAGCTGCTTTCTTTTCCTTTTAGAAGAAGGAAAAAAAAAAACCAGAGAAGCACATGGTTGAGTTTTCACCTCTGTTGCTAATTTACATCTGATTATTTGTTAAAAACAAGCTGCATCCACAGCTGGGGTGCTCTGGAAGAAGCACTCGGGGCCAGCGTGCCTGATGAAGGGCCCCAGCAACGAAACTCAACCAACAGCAGTGTTACAAAGCAACGCATCTCTGCTTGTATGTTCTAATCAGACAAAGATGCGGTTTTAAGGAAAATGCCGGCAACAGGGCATTCTAGCACTGTCTACCATCAGTGGCATCCTGACGCCTAGTTTTGCTCCTGGGGTTTAAGTCTATGCTCTGTGGTCTTAAAGCTAAATTTTCATAGCTGCCGCTTGTTGCGTTGCTGTCCAAACCCAGAACTAAAAACTACGTTTTGCTGTTCCCATGTCAGTATGGGAACAGCATTTCCCATAATAGTATTTATACCACGACTGGTATAAATAAAATAGCCAGTAATAAACAATTTGTGTTCAGATGCACTGTGTTCTGAAGATTTATTTTTAACTTAATGGTCTGTCTTGCACAGCTCTAAACTAGAGCTATTTTTTCACAATACAGGCACATATACATATATATATAATTTTTGGCAATTGACTGACATATTGCAGACCTATAGTTTCTCATTTGTTGCTAAAACCCCCTACTAACTGCACGACTTAATGGCTCAGCTAACAACAGAAACCCATCTACCAGGATCACCCAAGGAACCCAGCAAAATGAGCTGCCTGTTCAAGAAATACCTCCTCTGAGGGCTAAACGAGATTGCACCGAAGGGTGTGAAGAAGGCTGTGCTGAAAGGGGCACCTGCCTGCTGGATGCCCACCCTGTTCGGATGCAGGTGTCTGGCCTTCGTACCCTGGTGAACAAACCTGCTCTAACGCCAGAGGACTTGGTAATGAAAATACCAGTAATCCAAAGCACAAAGACAGCAAAATAATAATGAAGCTGCTCTGACATTTCGTCTAAACTTCAGCGAGAAAAAGAACAGCCACCTTTGCAATTTGGGTTGAAAACAAAACCTGTGAGATGTAAAGTCGGGGGCAAAAGTGAAAGCCCTGTTGGATGGGAATACAGAGCCAAAACCAACTCCAGAAGGATCCCAGCGGGCTGCAGGAGACGCGCCGCACGCAAAGCTGCAAGGCTCCGTGATCCACCACCCAACTGACGCTTCTTTCTGAAGATCAGAGCTCCTGCTTTACCTCTAGCTGCTGTCTTGGCCTGACATTTGCATTTTTAAATTCATCAACTCTCCTGTGTGCAAGACCACCCTACTGCTCCGCAGATTGCCTTCCCCCTTCCCGTGACACCAGCCCAGCGTGTATTTTTCCTACAGGCAGTAGTAAAAATCATACGTTTCCTAGTAAGGAAAATACTGCAAATAACATCCTAGAGCCCTGGCGTCTAGAAAGTAAAATGCTTCACAAATATAGTCATTATTACCACAATTTATATAAAAATGATAACTTTGACCACAGTTGTCTTGGTTATATGATCTGTGTGAATGAAAGAGAACAAGTGCCTGAAACAGAAGATAATTTCCAAAGTGATTGAGGAAGGATCAGTTGTTTCACAGTCCCTGACTGATGGCTGGGCTATCGTTAAGTCCCTGACCTCACGCTACTGCCTGCCATTACATGAGAAAGCACACTTATTTTACTTTGTTTTCTTTTCCATCTATTTTTATTTCAGTCATTTAACCTTGTGTGGAGTTAGAAAACATCGTGCTCTTGTCAGCCGCCTCAGATTTAATGCAATTGCACAACGGAAAATTCCCAACATAAAGGGTCCAAAATTGAGAACACATGTTATATTAGTCCCTCGATGCAGCTGCCTGAATAATACTCTGCTGAGCAGTTTACAAAGAAAATCACCAGAAAATTTAAAACCTGTACTATACTGGCTGCAGAGATAGTTTGTTGTTCTTTTTTTTTAAGTCAGGTAAGATTATTGGTGTTGTATTTTAGTATCAGACAAGGCACCTTGTAAAAGTCAAGGCTGCATCGGCTCTACCAGTTTTCAGAAAACCGCTTTATCGAAAGGAGGGAAAGTCACCAGAGTGCAAACAAGACCTGATTAATACATTAAAAGGCATTAGAGAGCCCAGGCATGATCCAGCTCACGCTGCAGCTGCTGGAGATCTGGCGCTTTGCCTGCAGCATCAAAAAATCCTGCAGACGCCAGGCTCCAAATCCCCACTGACAGGGCAGCTCGGGATGAGGACCAGAGCTCTTTGGCTCCGGATGGCCCAAGCTGGTTGAAATTCCCCCAGAGCCCTCGTCTCATCCTAATCCATTAGCAAAGTGCAGTTAATCTCACCAGGTGCTCGCCACGTCGCTTCTTTTCTCCCTCTTTGCCGAGTTTTCCTTCTGTTGTCCAAGTCTCTCATGCCCCACAGGTTTCAGGCCATCAGCACATGTAATCTCTTCCCTTCCTCTTCCCCCTCATCGCTCTCTTCGACCCTCCTTCATGAGAAATCACACCTCCACCCTGCCCTCATCTCAGGCTTTTAAACAGCAGAAGTCCCCGGCCAAGGCTCTTCCTCCTGAACAACTGTCCTTCCCACTGCTTTTCCCAGTCCTCCCCCACCTTTTCTGTGGCTCTTCGCACAGAGTCTCCTTCTCAGACAAAACTGAGAAACAAGACTTCCCCCTCCTACGTTTTAACCGTTGCTTCCCCATTTGTACAACGCGTGCCGAGGTTGCTCACGTGCTGCCTCCCATCGACCTGGCTTCTTGCTCTAGTGACTTGATTTTAACATTTTTTATTCGTTATCGCCTCGTCCCTGTGCTTCTCTGGCTCTTTTCTTTTGCAGCGCATCTTTGTAATGCCCGTCTTTAAAAAAATATCATTACCTTTGATGATTTTTATGGCTAACACTGCTTTCCTCTCTCAGCCGTGAGGTCACTGAAGATGCCATTTGCAGTCACTGCCGGAGGTTTCTTTCCCTCCAGCTCCACGCTACGCCTCCTCCAACGCAGCCGCTGCCCCAGGCTCGCCATCGAAATGGCTTCCGCCGAGCCCGTAACAGCATTTTCCAGCTGCAGGGCAGACAGCGAGCTTTTCTCGTCCCTCTGCCTCCAGCACAGCCAGCTCAGCGCTTCTTCTCGGCTGATGAGACACTCTTCTCTCCTAGTTTTCCCCTTTGCTTCTCTAACCACAAGCATCTCTGAAGACCCCTTCATCCCTCTCCTCTCTCAAGTCCAGTCTGGCCAGCCCCCAGTCCCCTCTCTAGGCTTGCTTCTGCATAGCCCCATCTGCAAACATATACATCACCGGTGTTTCCATACAGACCTCCGCACCTGCTTCTCCACCCAGAGGGGTCTCTTCTCTCAACTAAAGGGTCAGCCCATTTTCTTTGCAGATATTTATCTCAACGCTTTCACTGCCCATCTCCTGCAGCCCGGTTTGGACAGGGTCGTCAGTGCCATAGGCTCTCCCCCATGAGCTTCCCAGGCGTCATTTCCCACTCCAACGTCCCATGATGCTGCCCTCAAACCTCGAGTTGGTGAGGCAGCGTGAAAAGCACTATCAGGCACCCCGTGGTGCCACCATGGCAGAAGGAGCAGACACTTTGCTGCCTCATCTCAGCTTTCTAACACGTCTGATGTGGAGTTTCATTCAGCTTCACTCCGAGGGAAAAAGAAGAAAACTGGCAGAGTGATGACCTCAAAACCAGGGACCATCATCATTATCTTTGCAGAGACCAACACTGTCCTCTTAGCATTTAGCCTAAAAGCACTGAACCCCAGAGGGCTAAAAACTACATTAATTCCCACACAGGTAGGGCTTGTGACAGCTCATCTGTATTAAACAGAAGTCTGTGCAATAGGAAATTAGTCTCATCTCATCTCTGGAAACAAAGCAAAGTGACAAGAGAAAGAAAAAATCCAAATGTAATCAATATTAATTTTTAGAGAGAGACTGAGAGACATGCAAAGAGACCAGAAAATGACAAGGCAGTGACTGGAAGTGCACAAAGAAGGTGAAGGATGCGCAGCCTTTGAGATGGTCTGCAGAAGGAGGAGGCAGGCTGCACCAGCTGGGACCACTGTGAAGCTGCAGGGAAAAAGATCCCCAGTAACCTTAATTAGAAAGGGAATATCCCAGGTGCCTGGACCTGCACCATGCTCGGATGGACACAGCTTCC